ATGTGATTTTCATTATGGCCTTTCAAGTTCGCCCAGTATACTACCTCCAGCTGATCTCTCCTAAGGTGTAGAGGCATCTCTCCCATTTCAACCTGTAATGCTGCTACCGGTGTGGTTTTCATGGCTCCACAGCATACTCTTAATGCTTGGTTTTGGATTACATCTAGCTGTTTTAATGTTGTATTAGCAGCTGATCCATACACCATACATCCATAATCGATCACTGATCTTATCAACCCTGTATAAATTGATTTTAATGCCACTCTACTAGCACCCCAGTCTACACCACATAGGCACCTCATTACATTTAACACTCTTTTACATTTATCCACCATTTTACTAATATGTGTGTTCCATGTAAGTCTCCTATCAAACCACACTCCCAGATATTTAAAAGATTCAACATTCTCCAAATCTTTACCTCCCAATTTCAATTTTAAATCCTCTCTTATTTTCTTTTTGGTAAATAACATGGCTTTAGTTTTTTCTTGAGATATTCTAAATCCCCACTTAACTGTCCATTCCTGCACTGTATTTAATATCTGTTGCATTTTCTTCATTATAAATGTTATGTTTCTCCCTCTTTTCCAAATCGCACCATCATCAGCAAATAATGCAACTCCTGTATTATTTTCTATCTCCTTAAAGATCCCATCAAACATTATAGAAAACAAAAAAGGGCTAATAATACTCCCTTGTGGTGTGCCATTTTCAACACTGTAACATTCACTAAATGTACCATTTATTTTAACTGTTATGGATCTTTCTGATAAAAATTCTTTAACCCATCTCAATATGCGTCCTTTAACTCCTATTTGGTTAAGTTTAATTAACACTCCATCTCTCCACAACATGTCATATGCTTTCTCTATGTCTAAAAACACCGCTATTACTGATTCCCTGTTAACCTGTGCTTTTTTAATATCATCTTCAAGCCTCAATATTGGATCCATTGTCCCTCTACCTTTCCTAAATCCACTTTGATAATTTCCTATCTTTCTTTTAGTTTCAACCCAGTACACTAATCTGTCATTAATCATTCTTTCCATCGTTTTTCCAATATGCGATGTTAGGGCTATTGGTCTATAACTGGTTGGCTGTTTGGGATCTTTCCCAGGCTTTTTAATGGGAATGATAACTGCTTTTTTCCATTCTTTTGGAATAACTCCTACCTCCCATATCTTGTTATACAACTTCAACAGCACCTCCTTTCCTTTATCAGTTAGGTTTTCTAACATAGTATAACAAATTCCATCTCTCCCTGGAGCCGTTTTCCCTAATTTCTTTAATGCCCTACTCAGCTCAGTCCCTGAGAAATTTATATTTAGTACCTGATCCCCGTCATCTTTCCCTAAATCAAACTGATATCTTTCATAAGTCTCCACCCTCCCTCTTTTTTCCTCTTGGCTTAAATTGTCTGTGCTGTGTACTTTAATTAATGTTCTTGCTATAATTTCTGCTTTCTCTTTATTATTAATAATAACCCTCTGCCCATCCATCAGCATTGGATATCCATATTCTTTTCCATTTCCTTTCATTTTTTTGATCATTCCCCATACTCTCTCTACTGGCGTTGTTCTACCAATTGACTCACAAAATTGTCTCCAATATTCTTTTTTTGATTTTTTAACCGTTTTCCTAACTATTGCCTGTGCTTGTTTGTATTTCATGAGATTTTGAAAGTTGTGTGTCGTTTTCATTTTTTTAAAAGCTTTGTTTCTCTCCTTTATAGCTTTTCTACACTCCTTTGTCCACCATGGAACAATTTTATTAATTATTTTAGGTTTTGATTTAGGTATTGCCATTTTTGCTGCCTCAATTATTCCCCCACTAATTCTTTTACACATATTTTCAACATCTAAGTTATCCTCAATCTTTTGCAACAAATCTTCACTGATTTCCCTAAATTTATCCCAATCTGCTCTTTCTAAAATCCATTTCTCCTCTCTCACTTCAATTTCTTTTGCGCATTCTATTCCTACTTGAGTTTTGATTGGGTAGTGGTCACTTCCAACTGTGTTACCTCTTAATACCTCCCATTCACACCTATCTGCAATATCTTTTGTAACTATTGTAATATCTATTGCTGATTCTGTGCCTCTTGCTGTATTCAATCTAGTTCCTGTCCCGTCATTAATGCACACTAGCTCTTCTTCTTCAATAAATTCTTCAATTACTCTCCCATTATTATCATTTCTGTTACCCCATAATGTACTGTGTGCATTAAAATCTCCACACCAGATAATTTTTCCATTAATACCCTCCCATATCTCTTCTAACTGTTCCCTCTCTAACAATCTACATGGGTTATAAAAATTTATTATTTTAATATTACCTTCACTTGACCATACCTCCACAATAACATATTCTAGTTCATTCCCTCTCTTTACTTCTCTATATTGGATACCTTTTTTTATAAATGTAATAATTCCCCCACCTTTACCTATTTTCCTATCCATTCTTACTGCATTATAGCCTTTAATATTAAATTCTAGTCTTGATATTAACCATGATTCTTGTACACACACTATATCAGGTTTTTCATTTAAATCATCTATATATTTCTTAAATTCCTGACCATTAGATATTAAACTCCTCGCATTCCACTGCAGTATAAATATTACCATTATGCAACTCCACCCCATGCTTGTGACTGTTGTTGCTGAACTTCTTCATTTAACGTGTTTCTCACTGATTCCCAAGGGATTCCTTTAATACCCATGTATTTTTCCGCGGCTTTAACTATTATTTTAATCCTTTCCGTCCGACTTGTTGTCTGTGCTGAGCAATTTATCACCTCTGCCATAAAGAGAACAAATTCATTTTTATCCACAATCAGTGTTTCTTCCTTTATTTTATCACATTTTTTACACTTAATCATGTCTTTCCTTTCTTCTCTCATTGTCGGCATCTGACCCATCTGTTCCCTTGTAGGCCTAACTTTCTTTGTTGCTTCTGCATAAGATATACCTTGAGTGACTTTTATTCTCTGTATCTCTTGCATTCTTTTATTTACCTCACACCCTCTGTATGCTGAACTATGTTCTCCACCACAGTTGCAACATTTGAGTTTTGCTTCCTTATCACATTGTCCATACTCATGTTCTCCACTACATTTGCTACATCTCATTTTCCCTTTACAGATCGCTGCAATATGACCATATTTTTGGCATTTGTAACACCTAACAGGCGGTGGTATGTACATTTTCACTTCATAGCTCATGTATCCTATGAAGACTTTGTCAGGTAGTTTTGTTTCATCAAATGTCAGCATTATTGAAAGACTGTCACATATGGCTCCGTTCCATCTTGTTTTTAAGCGTTTAGCTTCTTTTATTTTAGCATTCGTTATTCCTTCAATCACGTTGTTTAATGACTCACTTACCGGTATGCCTGTGATTACTCCTCTTATAAGTTTTCTGTCATAGACCTCAGAGCATTTCACTTTTTTACCATTTATTTTATTTACTTTGATTGCTTTCTTTTGTTGAGCCTCATCTTTACATGACACCAATAAGCATCCATTCCTTAATTTTTTAGCACATCTTACCTCCCCAATCTCCTTATACAGAGCTTTCGTTAGTTGTATAGGACTCCAATCCTCAAATGTCGCCCCTTCCTGTACTAGTCTAACAAACACATTATACTCTTCATTTCCTTCCTTTACTTTGGATCTCATTTCTTCGTCACTATCTAGTTTGTTTTTTCTTTTTTTCCGCTTTTTACCTCTACAGTTTGTCCACGGTTCGCAACTCTCGCTACCCTCCATCTCCTCTACTTCATTTCCTGATCCGTCATTTCCGTCTCCCCACTCCTGACCATTCTCAATCCAGTCGTTGCCAACCGCCTGCACTGCTCCTCCTCCACTTGATGCCGCCATTCGAGTCACGCCAAACTATTAAAATCCCGTTTTATGAACACCTGCCCACATCGACAGCTGCTCTAATAAATTGTCTGTGTCAACTCACTTTTATAACATTTATTCTACACAATAACCACGTAAAAAAATCTACTCAAATAAATTGCATTAGTTTTATTCAAAATATACAGTTATATAAAAACTGATATATTTTAAGTAAAGAGGAAGCAAATTAAATTTTTTTGGTATAAAACAAATAAAATTAACTAGATTGCAATTATTTAAAGTAGATAGAAACAACTTTGTGAGTGTAGCACTTTTTACAGTGCATATATTACCTCCTGCAAGTTTATTTTTAACAATTTAGTTTTAGTTATGTTTCTTTTTTAAATGTCAACATTCTCCTTCAAATTATAATAGTATGTTTTTAAAAAATGTAACTATTAATGGTCCAGTATCTTTTGTGCTTAATTTCAATTTGAGTCATCTTGCAAATGTGTGCTAAATAAAATGCGCGCATAACAGCATACAAAAGGAAGGATAAAAAGGAAAGTGTCACCAAAGGGATAGTTCACCCAAACTGTGGTCTAAATTCACCCTTAAGTGGTCTGAAATATTTATGAGTTTCTTTATTTTGTTGAACATTAATTTTACACTAACTTTAGTGTTCAAAACTAAACTGAAGATATATTGAAGAAAGCTGAAAACCGTTAACCATTGACTTCCAAAGTAGGAAAAATAAATACTAAGTTGATGGTTACAGGTTTTAAGTGTTCTTCAAAATATCTTTATCAGACACACTTTATTTTAATGGTCTGTTTGTTGAATTTAAGTTACATTGCATCTACATGCAAACTAATTCTCATTAGATTATAAGTAGACTGTTAGGTTAGGTTAGGGTTGGGGTTAGGGTTAGTGTAAGTTGATAAGTACTTGCAAAGTTTGTTATAGTCAGTTAAATGTCTGTCGAAGGAGCATATCAACAGATATTAAGCAGACAGTCTACTATCTTGTAAACTTATAAATGTTTTGAAACAAGTAAAGGGTCAGTTAATGATGGCAAAACCTGCATACCCATCATGTTAAATTTACATTTTCATGTGGAATTTACATCTGCATATTTCTATTTTGTCAATGCCAGGGACCACTGGAAAAGTCAATGCAAAATTCAGCAGCTTTGGAGAAGCAGAAAGTTCTGGACAATAAAGTGGCTGTGATAAGAAGCAGCGTTCAGGTAATTTACACCCAAGATTTGTTCGTTGTTATCACAACCATGGGATTTTACATATATGAAATGCATGTGTGTGTTTGTTTTCTGCACTATTTGATCAGATGCTGGATCAGGCTGTGAAGTATCTTGAAGATATGCAAGACGATTTTGACTTTCGTTACAAAACGCTCCAGCTTCGAGGTGATTTGGTGACTGTCATCATTACTTCAGCACAAAATTGGGCAAATTACATTTAGTCCAATTCATTTCAAGCTTATTTGTATAGCAATTTGAAACTTTGTAGAACAGCAAATGGATGGAACAAGTTCAAGCTACAGAAATTTGATGTGATATTTAAAATATAACATTTTTGTACCTTAACCTTGTTCCACTCATAGGCTTTTCTGTGTGCTGTGTTTTACCAAAGAAACTTCAAAAATGAAATGTTGAACATTGTGTTTAATGTATAGAAACACACATACTGAGCCATCACATGGCAGAACAGCAGTATACAACAGAATAAAAACCCATGAGGTTTGGTCACTTTTTGTTCTAAACAAAAAAACAAAATAAATAAATAAATTACTTTATTAGAAAGTTCTACAAAAGTTTCACTGGTATTAGTAGATGGTAAACAAACTATGAACAACTGATTGGTAAAGTGTGAGTTAATATATTAATTAAGTGTTAGTTATTAGCTTATGTATGCTATTGGGACGTTATTCTAGTTGCAACTATTCCTCATTTACTAACAGTTAATAAATTAGGAATAATTGCAACTAGAATAACGTCCCAATACGTATATAAACTATCAACTAATACTTAACAAGTCTTTAGTAAGTAATTTACGAACAGCTTGTTCATGATATATTACTAATTTATTAGGTATAGCTATAAATCATTAAAATGAGTTTACAAGTCATTTATAACTTGTTAACTAACAGCTTGTGAGTTACCTTTTGGCTAGATCTATAAGGCACAGTTATAAATAATTAACAAACTATTAACTTTTATTTAACAAGTCATTTATAACTCATTAACTAACAGTTTACTAATGATCTATTAACTAGTTAACAGATAGATATTCTAAAGTTACCAAAAAAGTTGCTGATGTTTGCCTGCCATTCTCTGTCTGAACCGTGTACGTGAAATCAACACTAAGTATGTTTACATTGACACCAATAATCCGTTTTTAATATGATCAAAACAATACTCCGATTAGGAGTCTTCCATGTAAACAGCGATTTTTGATTAATTTAATCCGATTAAGGTCGTAATCAGACTAAACAAAATCTAATTAAAACATGTGGAGTATGCAGATTTTAGTGGCATTAGTTCGGTTCAGTACATACATGTAAACACCGCATTTAAACTATTGCCATTGTGTGATATTTTCTCTGCATTTTGCGACAGGATAGTCTATACACACACACAGCTGTTTGACACTATTCTCTGCATCTACCGAGTCAGACCAAAGACACACACATTGTGAAATGCATTGTTTTTTTTTCCCCATACGGTGTGCGATATCAAATTTTATTAAAACAACACTCTTCCAGCAGTTCATACTCGCATCCAATATCTCATTTGTCGCGGGGGGGCATGCATGGAATGTTCCTGAATGAAAGTGAAAGTGCCAAACTGCAGTTAAAGTCAACAAACTAAAAAAGAAACACTCAAAATTACATGAAACTCTGGAGGAAAAGTGGACAGCGTGGAGATGCAATGACATTAATCGAATTATGTGCTTTAACATGTAAAACGAGATCATGAAAGAAGCATTCAAAAAGCAACTCATGTAAACACCTTAATACTATTAATGTCTTATTCAGAATAAGGAAAATAATTCTATCAGTGATGTCCATGTAAACGTAGTCAATGACGTAATTCTTTCTGTGAGGACAGGGTGTGCAATTACATATTTGGCAAGAAGGACAGCCTATTATAATGTTTAGGCCAAACGTTTTGATTGGATGAATGTTTCTGAGTTCTACATTTCTACTTGAAATCTTTAAATATCCCACTTAAAAAATTATTTTCCTGCTTGTTTAAACTACTTTCCTAAAATGAGCTGAAACAACACAATTGTTGACTTTTTTGGGGACGACTTAATTGTTTATTTTCAATTCACTTAAAGTCCCTGTGAACCGGAAGCTGCGAATGAGCAAACAGTGGCTTGTTTTTTCTATCATGGGCTGAATGGATATAGTAAAGTAGGCATTTCACTCAGAAAGATCAGGAAATGGGTTTTAGAAGAGTTATTACAACCTAACAGACTCCTCCTGCTCACCATTCCTGTTTGTTGTCGAAACTTATCCACCCCCATTACCTCAAAATCACATCATCTAATAAATGTTTATATATTTTTTATAAATAAAAAAAGGGCAAACTATTTTTTGTTCTTAATGACATGCACAGATGAATTAATCTTCACAAAATTAGCAATGTAAGCTAAAAAAATCATATGGTTAGTTTTGATTTCTTGGGGACTTTGAACTTAAGTTAACTTAATCTAACTTAACCTAATTTGTGTTGGGACAACATGAATGAATTGTGTGGAACCCTGTAAAAAATGCTGGGTTCATGTTGTTGCAACACAAATTAATTATTCATTCATTCATTCATTCATTTTCCTTCCGCTTAGTCAGAGGTCACCAACGTGGAATGAACCACCACCTATTCCAGCATATGTTTTACACAGCGGATGCCTTCCACCTGCAACCCAGTACTGGGAAACACCCATACACACTCATTCACACACTAACTCATAGACTACGGACTATTTTTGTTTATTCGATTCATCTATACCCCATGTTTTTGGACTGTGGGGGAAACCGAAGCAACCGGAGGAAACCCACGGCAACATGGGTAGGACAAATCAATTATGTTAACGTAATTGTTTTTTCAAATTTAAGTGGATTAATCTAAAAACCATTAGGCTGTTCCCTCCAAAATGTAAAATTTGTGTCATTTCAGCTCATTTTAAATAAGTAGTTTGAACAAGCAACAAAATTTATTTTTGAGTTTTATTGCAAAAATCCAAAATATATGTTTCTGTCAAAATCGCAAAGCTCTAATAGGCACATGAGAGATGTTTTTTTAATACAAAATATACATCTTCCTCTGAAACCCTGTAGATCCACTTGAGAGGAACTCTTCATCCATGAAACAAGAAGTCACAACTCTTCAAGAAATACTGAACCGCTTGGATTTCAAAAGAAAGGCAAGTGTTTCTCTGGCTTTTTTCAGTTCACGAGCATTTCCTCTTCTTCTCGTTTATTTTGTTGTTTGGTTTTGCATTGAACTACCCTGAGAACTTCCTGCTTCAGCCAAGAGGTTTGAGTGGTTTTCACACATCTGTGCCACATTTTTCTTAGGTATGTGATGCAACCATGTGTTGTTGTTGGCTGGTCATTGCTGACATTGGTTTTTGCTTTTTGTTTTTTACATTTGTAGGAGTTTTTGTCAAAGACAGCAGATGTTATCAAGGAAATTGATGCTCTGATTTCCTCCCAGCTCAACCCTGAACTCAAGGAATGGAAACGGAGGCAACAGATCGCCTGCATCGGAGGGCCAGTTCTGATAGGACTGGACCAGCTCCAGAACTGGTAAAATGCTTTAGACTACAAAGATATATAATAGATGAAGACGTAATGTAACATTTATAGTATTACAGTGTTTATTGTAGATTAATGGGGCTAGCAGAACATATGCAAGATATATGGAGTTTAAAGAACACTACTGGTAAAAGTTTGGACTGTTTTTTGTTTAAAATAATTAGATTTTTAATACTGATATCAAACAATCACAATTTATCGCATTTAAAATAAAACTTTTAAAATACTACACTTCTACGCATCTAAAATACTGCAAATTATATATAAATTTAAACATATATGTAAATATTTACTCACCGGCCACTTTATTAGGTACACGTTACTAGTACCGGGTTGGACCTTTAGAACTGCCTTAATCCTTCATGACATAGATTTAACAAGGTGCTGGAAATATTCCTCTGAGATTTTGACCCATATTGACATGATAGCATCACGCAGTTGCTGCAGATTTGTCTGCTGCACATCCATGATGCGAATCTCCTGTCCCACCACATCCCAAATATGCTGTATTGAATTGAGCTCTGGTGACTGTGGAGGCCATTTAAGTACTGTGAACTCATTGTCATGTTCAAGAAACCAGTCTAATGATTTGCGCTTTATGATGCAGGGCGTGTTATTTTGCGGGAAGTAGCCATCAGAAGATGGGTACACTGTTGTCATAAAGGGACATGGTCAGCAACAATACTCAGGTAGGCTGTGGCCTTGACACAATGCTTAATTGGTACTAATGGGCCCAAAGTGTGCCAAGAAAATATCCCCCACATCATTACACTACCATCATCACCAGCCTGAACCTTGATACAAGGCAGAATGGATCCATGCTTTCATGTTGTTGATGCCAAATTCTGATCTGAATATCGCAGCAGAAATCGAGACTCATCAGACCAGGCAATGTCTTTCCTATCTTCTATTGTCCAATTTGAGCCTGTGTGAGTTAAAGCCTCAGTTTCCTGTTCTTAGCTAATAGGAGTGGCGCCCAATGTGGTTTTCTGCTGCTGTAGCCCATCCGCCTCAAGGTTGGACATTTTGTGTGTTCAGAGGTGCTCTTCTGCATACCTTGGATGTAACTAGTGGTTATTTGAGTTACCATTGTCTTTTTATCACCTTGAACCAGAACTGCCGCTCACTGGATATATTCTCTGTAAACCCTAGAGATGGTTGTGCAAAAAAATTCCAGTAGATCAGCAGTTTCTTAAATACTCAGATCAGCCCGTCTGGCACCAACAACCATGCCACGTTCAAAGCTACTTAAATGACCTTTCTTTGCAATTTTGATGCTTTAAACTGCAGCAGATCTTCTTGACCCTGGCTGTTTCTTAATTCCAAGAAAACAGAGAACAGACTTGTGTCTTGTGAAGACAAGAAGACAAGGTCTTGCCAGGTCCTCGGAAGAACGAACTCGAGAGACTGTGAGAACAGAGAACGCATCCTCTGAGAAATGAGATGATGCGTTCTTCCTGATGGTCACATGATCGTCAGGCGTTCATTTATTTATTCATTTTCTTTTCGGCTCAGTCCCTTTATTAATCCAGGGTTGCCACAGCGGAATGAACCGCCAACTTATCCAGCACGTTTTTACGCAGCGGATGCCCTTCCAGCCGCAATTTATCTCTGGGAAACATCCACACAAACTCATTCAAACTCATACACTACGGACAATAGCCTACCCAATTCACCTGTACTGCATTCTTTGGACTGTGGGGTAAACTGTCTTCACCGTCAGGCGTTTTTAATGGAAAATTATTTAAACATTACAGCATTCATACAATGATTTATTGTTTTATAGTTTTTTTATGTGTTTATTCCATTATTGGTGATGTTTACTTTCACCGTTTCATTTAGGGAAACTCCTGAGATAGATAAGTTATGTCTCTGAACTTTAATAATAAATCTATATAAAAGGCTGCGCTTCCCACCTCCAGTCAAAATGACTTCGGTGACTTCTAGAGCGAGTTCGGTGCTCAAGTCTGCATCCATGTGTTCTCGATATCAAGAACACATCCGGGAAGTTTCACGTGTCCTCCGTTCTTGAGTTTTGGAACCGAACTTTGGCAACTGATAATGACGTTACACAAGAACACGAGGACGCAAGACAGCTGAAAAGCACATACTGAGAAACAGCCCATGTCTACATGCCTAAATGCATTGAGTTGCTGCTATGTGATTGGCTGATTAGAAATTTGCGTTAACGAGCAGTTCGTCAGGTGTACCTAATAAAGTGGCCGGTAAGTGTATTTCTATTATACATGTTTGTATTTTATGTACAATATGCGTGTGTATTTATATCTGTTTACATAGATATACACAGTACAGATGCATATTTTACGTACATACAAACTTTTATCTTGAATGCGATTAATCATGATGCGATTGGATGCGATTAAATATGATTTTTATATTAGCCAACAATTCTTTAAATTGATCTAAGAAAATATTTATAATAATACAAAAGATTTTTACCTCAAATACGTTTAATTATTTTGAATTTTCTGTTTACCTTGATAAAATGTCATGTATATAAAAAAATGTATTTGCACAACTGTTTTCAATATTGAAAAAAAATAAATAAATTTTGAGCACCAAATTAATTATAGAATACTTTCTGAAGGATCATGTGACTGACTGAAGACAAGAGTAATTCACAAGGAATAATTGCATTTTAAAATATATTAGCATATAAAACTTGAAATAGCATTGTACATGAAATGACTACTTGTACTGAATTTTTAAAACAAATGCAGTTTTGGTAAAAATAAGAGATCACTTTCAAAAACAAAACGAAAGTAACCAAGGTTTTTTGATTGATTGCTAAGCATTTACTGGAGTAATTAGCCTAGACGCTAAGATACTACTATTGCATTTTTGTGGTGGCCAACAGATTGAAATTGTTTACAGGAGTCATAAAAAACACTACATGTGATCAAGTTTAAATCAAACCTAAGTTTAAATGTGATTTTCCTCTTGCAGGTTCACCCTGACAGCCCAAAGTCTGTTCCAGATTAAAAGACAGCTAGACAAGCTTGGTGAGCTGATCCTGAAAGTCACATATGAGAGCGATCCCATTCCTCTCCAGAGACCTCAGATGGAGGAGCAGGTCAAATACCTCATCTACCACCTCATTAAAAGGTAACCAATAGGGATTATATGTGATATATGAAAAAATGAGACACAAAAATTCACTTCTGCCTTTTATGGCCTGCTTATACACGGTTACTTCATGCCTTTTTTAGATCACATAGCTGATTTGCAAAAAGGGTTTCATTTACAACTGACCACATAAAAGAGTTTTGACTAAACAGATATAATCAGGATATCTTCCGTGCCCCTCATTTGAACTCTTTTTCTTTTTTAAATATTTCCCAAATGATGTTTAACAGAGCAAAGACATTTTCACAGTATGTCTGATATTTTTTCTTCTGGAGAAAGTTTTATTTGTTTTATTTCAGCTAGAATAAAAGCAGTTTTTAAAGTTTTTAAAAACATTTTTAGGTCAAAATTATCAGCCCATTTAAGCTAATTTTTTTCAATTGTCTAAAGAACAAACCATCATTATACAATAACTTGCCCAATTACCCTAACCTGTCTAGTTAACGTAATTAACCTAGTTAAGCCTTTAAATGTCACTTTAAGCTGTATAGAAGTGTCTTGAAAAATATCTAGTCAAATATTATGTACTGTCATCATGGCAAAGATAAAATAAATCAGTCATTAGAAATGAGTTATTAAACTATTATGCTTAGAAATGTGTGTGTGTTTATAATTAAAATATGAGGAAATAATATAAAAACATATGGTACCCTTTTTTTAAAGCCCCAGGGCCCAATGTGTTCATATTCTGGTCCTGCAAACAACTATATATATAAAAAAAACAGTAAAGCCTCTAGACACTAAATAAAACAAAATCAATTTTTATTATTGTTTAGGCCTACAGTAGCTCAGAAATAATCATGCGAACCTGTTCATAAATGTTTTTGCTCAGCATCAGGCGCACAGCAGCAAGAAGTTTGGCGGCGAACTATAGGCATATATTATTATTATTATTCATTCATTAACTTTATTTTCAGATTTGTACCTTTATATTATTATTATTATTATTATTATTATTATTATCATTATTATATTATTATTATATATTATTATTTTATAGCCCTTGCTCGGAAGCAATTATGCAAACCAGGTGCTGCTCGGAACTGGCTATCTTTGCTCAGCATCAGGACGTTTGGCCGCAAACTATGACCTTATTTTAATGACAAATGTCTAATAAAACTGCTAACTTATGTTTTTATTTAATTAATACAATGTAAGCCTGCTAACTGATCAAATAATAGAATGTGTAAACTTAGTTTATAAATATAATTAAATAAAAACTATTAAAAGCCTGGGCGGACTATTATTTTAAGGGCAAGCTCACAATTGGTTGACCAATCAGAGAAAAAACGGCGTTTCAGCACCGCCTACATGTGGACAAAGAATTTTAAAGTCATTTATTTGTTTTCCTATAAAACAAAAATCGAGCCAAAATCTTGTTTGTTTCTCATTTTTTTGTGCGAAAAATTACGGTTTTCTTACTTTTCATTTTTTTGTTTGAAAACGGATATGGAATGGACGGAAGATACCCAGTTTAGATATAAATCCATTCTTCAAATCTATATGCAATTTAACCAGGTTACGCCTGGTACGTCTAATAAAGCATTAGATACAATGCATTTTATTGAATTATTATTTGTTACAGAAATGTAAGCTATATATACTTTTTGGCAAACAAATGATTTCATATTTATACTACAGGCTTTGTTTTTTACTTATGTTTCAGTAAAACATCAACACAAGCGCACAAAGCTCAGCAATTATTTTTATTACAGGCTAAATGAAACATTTACATTTGTCGTACAGTGCAGTACAAGTGATGTTTAGCAGAGCAAGGAAATTTTCACAGTATTTCCTATAATATTTTTTCATCTGGAGAAAGTCTTATTTGTTTCATTTCAACTAGAATGAAAGGAGCTTTTAATAAAAATACAATATTATTAGCCCCCTAAGCAATATTTTTTTTTCAATTGACTACAGAACAAACCACTGGTATGCCTAATTATCCTAACTTGCCTAATTAACCTAAGGAAGCCTTTAAATGTCACTTTAGGCTGAATATTAGTATCTTGAAAAATATCTAGTACAATATTATTTACTGTCATTATGGCAAATAGCAAAGAAATCAGTTTATACTATTGAAACTATTATTTAGAAATGTGTTGAAAAAAATCTTCTCACCGTTAAACAGAAATTGGGGAAAAAATATAGAAGAGGGCTAATAATTCAGACTTTAACTGTAACACAAAACCCAGAAACGGTGCACAACAAATAAAGTCTCTCTTTGGTCAATGTTTGCAGCTCCTTTGTGGTGGAGAAGCAGCCCTGTATGCCAACACACCTCCAGAAACCCCTCATCATCAAAACACAGGTGCAGTTCACCACCAAGGTCAGGTATGAACCACCGCTGAATCTTCCTGTAACTCTAAGTAAACAAGTCTGAAGCCTTATTGAACTGACTGCCTGAAGTCCAACGCAAACTTTTCATTTCACTTGTTTTTTCTTTTTTTTTCCAGGTTGCTGGTTAAGTTACCTGAGGTGGATTATCAACTCAAAGTCAAGACAACATTTGATAAGTATGTTTCCTAAATATGGTTTACATTATTAATATTTTTTTCTTTACCCTCTATTCTTTATTTTTATAACCTGGGTCATTCATATTACGCAAAACATTTTCAGCTCATTAACTTATTAAAATGCAATAAATACAGTTGTGGGCAAAATGATTAGCCCTCCTGTGATTTTTTTTTTCCTTTTTAAATATTTCCCAAATGATGTTTAACAAAGCAAGGAATTGTTCAAAGTATTTCCTTTAATATTTTTTTTCTTCTGGAGAAAGTCTTATTTGTTTTATTTTGGCTAGAAAAAAAGGAGTTTTACATTTTTCAAAAACCATTTTAAGGTCAAAATTAATAGCCCCCTTAAGCAATATATATATTTTGATTGTCTACAGAACAAACCACTGTTATTTAATGACATTCCTAATTACTCTAACCTGCCTATAAGCATTTAAATAGGAAAATATCTAGTAAAATAATATATTTCTATAATATGAGTTATTAAAACTATTATGTTTAGAAATGTGTTGGAAAAATCTTCTCTCCGTTAAACAGAAATTGGGGGAAAATATACATAAGGCCTATTAATTGACTTCAACTGTATATACAGTATGTGTTGTAATATGAGGATGTATTTCTATAAAATGGTAAAGTAGACTGTAACCAAAATGTGATATGGTTAAGATTCGACACTTATTTTCATTATATTCATTACCAGGGTCTAAAATGAGCAGTGTTAAATAAGAGAGAATATGAAAGTAGTTTTATTACTGTCTTGGTTCAAAGCCATTTAATCAACATACAATATCTTCCCATGTCTGCCAATAAAGAGAATGATTCATGAATTAGAGAACAAAAAGAATAGTTTCCCTGTTGATTATCCACTAATAAAAATATAAATAAAAGCTATGTGGTTTAACTATTAAAAGCAAAGGAAAAACTATGTAAATAATGAATATAATAATATTATAAATAGACAAATAAAGCATATCTAAATTTATACAAAATACTTTACAGTTAAGTAGTATTATAAATGTTATAGTGATAAATCAATAATAATTTGTTGCATTTTTTCTAATAAATAATAATAATAGTAATAATAATAATAGGGGGATCACGGTGGTTCCCAGTGTTGGGTTGCAGCTAAAATGGTATCTGCTGCATAAAACATATGCTGGATAAGTTGGTGGTTCATTTTAATCTGGCGACATTAGTATGTGTGGATGTTTCCCAGAGATGGGTTGTGGCTAAAAGAGCATCCGCTGCGTAAAAACGTGTTGGAAAAGTTAGCGGTTCATTCCGCTGTGTCGACCCCAGATTAATAAAGGGACTTTAAAAAAAATTAAGAATAAAGGTGAAAAGAAAATTATTTAATGAATAATAATAACAATAAATAATGCATGTATTTGTGTTTTTGGTTAGATACATATGACATATGTTTTTAAAACATACAATTTCATCCAAAAAATAGCTGGAAACTTTTCTAAATTCTCTGCCTCTCATTATAACTTGATTACATACACAATACAAAAAAAAAAAAAAAAAAGCAGTATGGAAATTATCATGATTGCTATTTTTAAAACAAATCTGAATGAGTATTCGAATGACAATCAAGCAACTAATGCCACAAAACTCTAAATAATTCATCAAAATATATACTGATATATGCGTCTGCATTTTCCTACCACATATGATGTCACATCCTGGAGGTGGATGTCAGTAAACCCACTTTTGTTTTTGAGTGAAATCTCAAACGTCCATTATTTACGAGTAATTTACCTCATAATACTTCAATGCTCTCAAAGCTTTCATTTTGAGTTTAGGTTTGTTAAATCCATGTTATTGACACTGTTGGCAGGAAATATTAGTACAAATTGAGATGCATTGGCATTAAAACCATATTACCAATAAAATATTGCATGTTTTTTTTCAATTATGTGTAGTAATTAAACAACAACAAGAGAAGACATATTAAATATTTCTGAGATATTCATTGATCATATGATAAAAATTACCAGGACATGGCCACTCAAACTTATGTAGTACTAGGAGTAAGAAATATTTCTCTAAATGTATAATAGTCATAATCAGGGATGGACAAAAATACATTGAAATGTATTTTAAAATAAAATACCAAATACCTCAGCTTTACTTGTACTGTATCAAAATAAACTACAAATTCAGCAGCCACAAAAAATATCAAAATAAAATACAGTCCTTGTATTTTGAAAATACTACAAAATACTTTAGTAATAAATAAGTATAAAATTTCTTCGCAAACCATCAATGGGCATATTGGATCAGTCCCTTCACCATTAAACTGACTTAGTAAACAATGTTTAACAGCAACAGCTGAGCAAGTTTAATTCAGCTTCTCTGCCACCTCATTCACCTACTTCTTTACATGAGGAGGTATTCATAAAAATGTAACTTGTGTTTCTCTTAGATTTTAGTATAGGTTTCGTACAAATTTCATAGAGAAAGCCTGTCTTGAAGATGATCTCTTTAATCCCTATAAAAACCATGTAATGCAGATAACAAGTTAAAATATAGCACAATATCTCTTGATTGTAAAAATTGCCACCATCTCTTAAAAGTTTTGTTTAAATTAGTTTTTTTTTTGCAATTAAAATTTTTAATACTCAATGTAAATCATGATTTCTGAAAAAGACTAAAATTCCCATTAGTTGTTTCCATTAATTGTTACACAATTTAAAACACAACATCTAAAACAAATTGCTATCTGTTCTTACTGCCATAAAACCTGAGTTGGGGGGTTTTGACCAGTCTGTAGACTTGGATATTATTAAATGTTATTGTCTCATACTGATTAACTATGTCAAAGTTGGTAATTAACTATTAAGAACACTTGCAGATCAGCTACTAGCATTTGAAACAGCCAATAAAGTTTTGTAGATAAATAAATATAACTACTGAACTGAACTGAACTTCAACTCTGAAAACTGAACTGACACTGTTTCAATTCACTATTATCTTCTATGTGAAGCTACTTTGACACAATCTACATTACAAATAAAGATTAATCGAATAGAATATTACCACTGCAGGACTTTTTGGGCTCTATTTTGACGGTCCATGCACAAAACGCAAAGCTCAAATCGCAGGGCGCAAACGCTTTCAGGGCGTGTCAGAATTCATATTTGCAAATTTAAGTGTGGTCAAAATACTGAGTTATTTCCAAATACACCTGCTATGCCCCATATGGTCTAAAACCTGACAGGTGGAAAAATCTAAGCTTGTTTTTAATAAAACAAATATAAATATGGATATAATAAATAATACTGCTAATAATAATAACATTATACAAAAGCAAATTGAATGAACTGAAAAAGCCTCCCAAGATGAAGAAAGTATGAAGGCAGTGGTTTTTAAATTCATGTAGGCTAGAAATTAATATGTTTTGTAATGTTTTAATCATTTATATTTATATCCCATATATAACCTTATTATATATATCCTTAAGATATTATATATTTTTCATATGTAAAGATATTTGCATATTGCTCTACATCTTGTGTGTAGTGTGTAAGCCAGGCGCACTTTGGGCCAGACAATAGACCGACTTTGTTCTGGTCTAAAGATCAGACTATTTACGGTTTCTCAAATTAGCAACACGCCAAAACACGCCTGCTTTTTTAGACCAGAACGCCTATGGGTGCACATATGATCGCAAATGCATTTGCTATTTGAACAGTGTTGCGCAACGCCTCAAAATGACCCTTGCGCCAAGGTGGAAGTAGCAAATATCAATTGCGTTGCATCTTGCGCCACATTGCGCCGGGTGTATGATAGGGCCCTGAATGTTGTTTGTCTTATTTTCTGGTCTTATTTTGACGTGCTCCTTCCATCCAAGCACTGATCAACTTCTTCAAAATAAATCAGTTTTCTAGTCTGATCTCAAGCCTTGGCAAATATCTAAAGTATTTAGATACAAAATATTAAGCCATTTTCATAAATTCTATCAAATACAAATTATGAAATACTATTTAATATCTGAAATACGTAATTAAAATACTTGTATCATAAATACGGCCCATTTCTGGTAATAATAAGGATAATAATAATAATAATGATAATAATAATAATAATAATAATGATGATAATGATAATAATAATAATAATAATAATGATGATGATGATAATGATAATAATAATAATAATAATAATGATGATGATGATGATGATGATGATGATGATGATGATGATGATAATAATAATAATAATAATAATAATAATAATAATGATAATAATAATAATAATAATAATAATAATAATAATAATAATGATGATGATAATAATAATAATAATAATATGAATTGTAGTATCAGAATTTTCGGGAAATCCTCGTGCTATAAATTGGCTGAGGTTTTGTTCAAATTAAAGGTGTTTACTAAATTCTCATGCAGTATAACAACAAACTTGTTGAAAGATAAGTTAAAACAGTCCAATAAATCTGGAGCAAACCATCACAAACAAAGGAGTGGGGGTGAAATCAGCAAACATCAACATATGTGAACTGTACATGTATTTGAGCTCTATTAATAAATTGTATTAAATCAAATTATGACTCTGTCATGAATATTTAAAATTCTAAATGTATATCACAGCACAAATGATAGGGATATGAATCATAACTTGAGAATGTACTGCATTTATGACCAATATATGATTATTACATACAAGTGTGTCACCTTTTAATGTTCACAAGCCATGTGAGCAGTGTTTGTGTATCACAAGTGTGTTAAACCCAACGTGACTATATTTTTACGCTCTTTTTTTCTCTCTCTCTCTCTCTCTATTTGTGTACGCAGAGACCTTCCACCGGGCAAAGTGTGAGTGCACTCAACCTCAAACACAAGAAAGAACTTCCTGTTGTTTATTTGGGCCAAATTTAAATGAGTTGTGTGTGTGTGTGAGAGGGGGAGGGGGCGGCTGTGTTTACAACCTCAACTCTGCGTTAATCTTACACTGTTTCTTACTGTTTGCTTATAGAAACAGACAGTTCTTCATCCTGACCAACAACACTAAAGTGATGGATGTGGAGGAGTCCACTGGCTGTCTGTCTGTAGAGTTCAGGCATCTGGTACTGCAGTCCAAGTCTAACACATATTGCTGTTATGGAAATGACTGAAAGTATAGTTTACACCCACTGAAGGAAAATTAATCAGTCATTAATGACTCATTTTTGTTAGGGCTGTGCAATATGTCCATATACAGATGAAGTCAAATTTATAAACCCTCCTGTGAAATAGATATTCTTTTTCAAATGTTTCTCAAGTGATACTTAATGGAGCAAAGAAATTTTCACAGTAATTCCGATAGTATTTTTTTTCTTGAGAAAGTCTTATTTGCTTTATTCCGTCTAGAACAGGGGAGCCCAAACTTTTTCTTAAAACCAAACTTAATTACATAAAGTTAATAAAGTTAATAAAAACAAACTATTACATTAAAGCTGCCATGGTAATTTCCTAATTTATTAATAATATAAAAAAAATAGAAAAAAAAATACTTCAATCATATTAATAGTTACACCTTTTCTTTACATTTTATTATCAACTTCTTACAATAAAAACATAAACACATTTATGACACAATGGTGTTAAATACTAAATATATGGAGCCAAGCTAAACCTGCCTTTAATTTGCTCATTGGATTGTCGTCTATCTTTGAGTGACACTATTTACATTTTAAAAAAATCTGATTCATGCACAACAATTAATTGAAACTCTTCATTTCAGTTGACTTCTTTGTAGCTCAACAATTAAACAAACAAATTAAATTAAAAATGACGGTCTCTGTTGCAGGCATTTGCCACAACCTTCATTCGAAATCTCTTCTCACATAGGATGGCGGGCCAAATCAAAGGTTACCATGAGTTATCTCGGGTCTAAAATAAAAGCAGTTTTTATTATTTTTTGAAGCATTTTAAGGTTATATAATGATTTGCCTAATTACCCCAACTTGCCTAATTAACCTAGTTAAGCCTTTAAATGTCATTTTAAGCTGAATACCAGTATCTTGAAAAACATCTCGTCAAATATTACAGTATGTAGTGTCGTCATGGCAAAGATAAAATGAATAAGTTATTAGAAATGAGTGATTAAAACTATTATGATTAGAAATGTGTTTAAAAAAAATCTTCCCGATAATCAACTATAAAAGAATTCAAATAAAACACAAGGGCTAATAATTCTCACTTCAACTGTATATATAGTATGGATAAAATAAAAAGTCTATCGTTTCATATTTTGCTCTTTTATTTTGCGATGTCACAAATATACGTTTCAGTTTACAGTAATTATTTTTCATCATTTAGATTATTTGGCAAACATGAGGATCCAGAAGACATGTGAATAACAGCTTGCAAAATTGTTTTACATTTCACTTTTTTAAGTTTGTAAATAACTTCATAATGGGCTTTTAATTATTAGTTTTTGAAAAGTTTGTTACATTTCGTTTATATATCTTCAATATTTGTAATCAAACATTTACCCGGAAATTTTAAGTAAAGTAAAAGTACATCTGAGCATATACTTTAAAATATACTTAAACAAAATATTGTGGTCAATATGTATATAGACCATTAATTGACTGAATTTACAGAAAAGGTTCCACAGTATATTGTAATATACAGTTGAAACCAGAGGTTTACATACACTCTGTAAAAGAGGCACATAATCATTTATTTAAATGTCTGAAACTAAACGTTTTCTCTTCGGTCAGTTAGGATTACCAAAATAATTTATATTCGCTAAATGCCAGAATAATGAGAGAATTCTTTTATTGAGAATGTTTTATTATTTTCTAGACAGTCAAAAGTTTACAAACATTTCCTTAGTATTTTGTAGCGTTGCCTTTAATATGCGTAATTTGGGTCAAACGTTTTGGGTATTCTTCCACAAGCTTCTCACAAAAGTTTGCTGGAATTTTGGCCTATTCCTCCTAAAATAACTGGTGTAACGGAGTCAGATCTGTAGACTGCCTTGCTCGCACATGCTTTTTCATCTCTGCCCAAAAATTTTCTATTGGATTGAGTTCAGGGCTTTGTGATGGCCTCTCCAAAACATTCGCTCTGTTGTCCTTAAACTTCTGGTTTCAACTGTATATCGTTATCAGCATATGAAATGATGACTTACATTGCGATATGAGAGTTTTGTCACATCATCCAGCTCTGATTCTTGTATTGTTCCAAACCCATACACTGTTTAATTTTGTCTGTGGAAAATACTTTTTTTCTTATTTTTTGGTGAACTATGCCTTTAAAAGAGGGAAGGTATTTTATTAATGCTTTGTGTTCTGCAGCAGCTAAAAGAACGAAAGTGTCCTACCGGAGGAAAAGGAAATGAGGTAAGACTTTATAGGTGCATGTTTTCCCCATCTTTGAATCCCATTTTCTGCCCAATGCAATGTCTTGAGTCCTGTTACTTGATTGAGTTGTAGTGTGTTTGTAATTGAGTGTGGAGAGCATCATCCTGCCAGTAGAGGGCAGCTTCACACTGTATAGCTGACATTCATATATTGTGTGTCTCCTGCAGGGTCCGCTGTCAGTAACAGAAGAGTTACACTCTCTCAATTTTGAGGCCATGCTGATGTTACAGGGTCTGGATATTGATCTTGAGGTATGTTTTTACATATATTTATTAAATGCATCATGTTGCAGTATGTACTGTATTTGGGCTTCATGATATTGGAAAAATCTGACATTGTGATGTTTTGTATTTCTGTGATATGAATATGAATACAATTTAACTCACCAGATGGCTTAAACCGCTATTTGGTAAGAATTTAGGTACAGCAATTGAATAATCAAATGTAAAATAGCACTGCATAGTCTTCATTTTAGGAATAATTCAATTAAATATTTTTTTATTCATTCATTTATTTTATTTTCGGCTTAGTCCCTTTATTAAGCTTGGGTCGCCACAGTGGAATGAACCACCAACCTATTCAGCCCATGTTTTAAGCAGCGGATGCCCTTCCAGCCGCAACCCATCACCAGGAAACATCCATACACACTCATACACACTCATTCACACACATACACCACTGACAATTTAGCCTACCCAATTCACCTACAGTATAGCGCAAGTCTTTGGACTTGTGGGGGAAAGCGGAGCACCCGGAGGAAACCCACGCCAACACGGGGAGAACATGCAAACTCCACACAGAAATGCCAACTGACCCAGCCGAGACTCGAACCAGCAACCTTCTTGCTGTGAGGTGAAGCCTCTGCACCTCAAGCCACTGCACCACCACGTTCCCCCTAAAATGTTTTTATTAAACTTAAAAATGGTACAGTTTCTTGTGCCTGAATACCTTAAACTCAGTTTAATACGTTCATAGTCACAACACTTAAAAACACATGCAAGCGATAATCTTTTGCTCCATTATAGTAAAAATCTTCAATGACTCCATATATCCCATGTTCTAAACTGTGGTACCTGCTCACCTGTAATCCCAAATTTAACATAGCAGATTCTGCAATGTGACTATTGCCAATGCACACATTGCTAAATCGATGCTAATTCGACCCATCGAATAATGATGAGTAAATAACTAGCCACAAAACGTAATCAGAACTCTGTTACTTGTACAAGCAGTTTTATTACAAGGTACAGAACCAGTAGGTAGTTAAAATATATATTGGACACTTTCAATTCGCTACAAACATGCCAGTCAACAACAATGAGTAGGCAAAAGGAAAAGAAAAATACACTCAAACATCCATCGCAAAAAAAAAAGTTACATTATTGAAAAAAGTATGATACAGCATTAGAGCGACCGTCACACACTTGTCAGAGCTCGCCAGAACTGAACTGAGCTTCCATACATGCGTGCTTACATCTTAAAGGTAAAAAAACCACAGAAGAAGTCCTCTTAAAGGGGACATGACATTTATACACAATGCTTATCTAACATTAAGCTACCGTTACAATATCACAATAATTAACCTTGAAAAAAGCAGCGCAATAAATACCAGACTGCTGTTGTGTTTGCAATAAGGAGGGACGAGGCTGAATCCAGCTTCTTATTCACAGCTTTTTATTGACTATATCCGGTCCACCTTAAAAACCGTGACTCGTCCGTTTTTCAGCCTCGCGCTCAAGTAAACACAAAATAGTTTTAATCTAAGCAAGGGCTTATTATGCGGTCCAGGCGCCATCTTGTGGATAGACAACATCGACCGTCTTTGGTCTACAACAGTACACAAACTCTCTCAGATATTGTAAATATTTTAAAATAGGCACTATTCTTACAAATAAACTGCATAGTTGCAATCTAAACAACTACATTCTCGACTAAAAAGCCTCAAAAGTACATTTTGTTTTCTAACAGCGGTAATATTTGTCAAACTGTAGTGTCTCTTTGCTTGTTGCTGGCTGCATGTGGGCGGAGTAATACACAGAGGTGAAGGGTGAAGAGGCCTTTGTGTGATGTTACTGGCAAAATATTGCACGGCTATCAGCCAATCAGATTCAAGAACCAGACAGAACTGTTGTATAAATATATTTATTATGTTAGAAATTAAACCTAATACAGCTTACAGTGTTTATATTTTCTCCTGTCTAGACTTGCTCTCTGCCGCTGGTGGTCATCTCTAATGTCAGTCAGCTCCCAGGAGGCTGGGCTTCAGTCATGTGGTACAACCTGCTCACGGATGACCCAAAGGTCAGATTCTCACACCTCTGATACAGATATCAGAGAATGCATGTCTAGCATAATATCTAGTATCTAGAAATGATGCTTAAGATCTACATTTTACTGAATTCGACAGGCAGTTAGTTATATGTGACCTTGTCTGTCTTGTGTAGAACCTGGCCTTCTTCAGTAACCCGCTGCGGGCGAGCTGGAGTCAGCTCTCTGAGGTGCTCAGCTGGCAGTTCTCGAGTTTCGCAGGCCGAGGGCTCAACAAGGAGCAGCTAAACATGCTGGGAGATAAACTTCTGGGTATGTTTTCTATTCTGACACAAAAGAGTTAAAAGCAGAGTTTGGAAAAAGTGCTGCAAAAGTGGGCGTGGTCAATTCAGATTATTAAATTTCACTCTTATTAGTATTACATAAAACCTGCTTAATGGAAACGCCAAGATGTGCATAAACTAAAAGAATGTGAATAGAAACAAACTATGAGTAGGATAAAGGTTTTATTTGGTATGACAAAAATGAGCATAAACTGCAATGGAAACACAGTTAATGAATAAATTCCAGCATGTACATCAAAAGTGGTTTTGTTTTAACAGATCACGATGTGATAACAAAAACGAGCATGATGGGACAGCATTAGTTGACAATCCAGCAGACTGACCACAATGTAAAACATCTTAAATGTTGTTTTGATCATAGTGAAATCTCTTAATGGCGGTCATCACTGACTACGTTTACATGGACATCAATAATTCAAAATTAATGCAATTAAGACAATACTCTGATTAAGCGTTAACCATGTAAACAGCGATTTTTGATGAATTTGATTAGATTAAGGTCATAATCGACCTAAAGAGAAATCGAATTAAGACATGTGGAGTATGCCGATTTTAGACGCATTATTGAAGTGCATTACAGACATGTAAACACCTTAATCAAACTATTACCGTCATGTACTGTAGGACTTTTCACAGTGATTTGCGACAGGATAGTACACACTCGCATGCGCACACGGTGTTTGGCAAAGTTTTAATGACCTTAAATTTATAAGACTGGTCTCTGCATTAAGATATAAACAGATAAAAAAGAAATATTCACAAAAAAACAGTATTGAGTCCCTATACCAGGCTTCCCCAACTTCATCTTCTAATTGAAGAGCAAGATATTATTATACCATATAATTATACTATATGAATAATTATACTATAATTATAAATAATTATGACAAATCCAATTGCCAACAACTTTTGCACAGTACTGTACATCAAGGGGTTGTTAAGGATTTTATTTGTAAGACACTGCCCTAGTGTTGATTGCTCAGCGTTTAGGGTTTTATGAATCTATAATGTGTTTGTCATTTTTTATGTCATTGTCAGTTTGAATACACTCTTTCATTTTCCCTTACATTTTATTAATAAACTTCATATCTAAACAGTGCTTTAAAATTGTTTCAAAAGGTCAACATGGTTCTTATAATGACTGCCAGGTTTCTTGGTCCAAGTTCTGCAAGGTAATAATGAATGAATATAATCCCACTATTATCTTGCACTTACTGTAAGCATCACAAAAAGTACAATAATATAAATCTAATGGTTGTTGTTTTTTTCTTATTGCTCTTTTAGGAGGTCATACCGGGAAAATCCTTTAGTTTTTGGATGTGGCTGGACTCTATCTTGGACCTAATTAAGAAGCATTTACTTCCTGTATGGATTGATGGGTCAGTGCTTGCATGTAGTTTAAGCTCAACTCTAAACAAGTATTAGCTGGTTAACATTGTGGCACTCAAATAAGCACACATAACATAACATATTATAACATGACATACTGGGTAAAATAGGTCTATTTACAGTTAGATTTGACTGGTAAGCTAACAAAAATATTCTAAAACTGTTAATGTTCCCATCAAGTTATGTTAAATTCAGAATTTTCACTGAAAGTTCAAAACGTTCAGTATTTAATTTTTTTAAAAAAAATTTTCATTTTATTATTATGCAAACATTGAGGCATAATGAGTTCATTTAAATTAAAATGTTCTCATCATTTCCTCACATTTTGTTGGCTCTAACTGAATGTGTTTTTTTGTTGAATGCAAAACAAACTATTATGAAAAATGCTGGAAAAAATAGCAATTGATATCTATAGTAGGAACAAAAAATAATAATATGGAAGTCAATGTGTGTTTTTACCCTATGATTCAGAAGAATGAAAGAAAGAAATAGATGCTGATTATTTGATGACACAATTTTCATTTTGGGGTGAACTATTCCTTTAAATATATCTTAAAATGTTAAAACAATAGTAATAATACTCATAAAACATTGCATAATCATTGCAACTAATCCTAAACCTAACCCTAATCCCTACTCAAACCATACAGTATGTAAATGTAGTTGATAACATGACTAAGTAGTTCAATCCATCGTTACACCATAAAAAGGACACCATTAAATAAACTGTACCCAAACCTTTGTTCATCATGACCTTTCCAAATCATTAGCCAAAGTTTGAGAGTTTTGTCTCTTAGCTGGGATATAATTATTTGAGCTTTCTATTGACTTTTCTGCAATGCTGAATGCTTTTTTTCTGCCAATATTAATGCAATGCATTCTGGGGCATGTGAGAGGTACATCAGCAACTTCTTACTCTGATCTTTGTTTGTTTTTCAGTTGCATAATGGGATTTGTGAGTAAAGAGATGGAGCGTGCTTTACTGAAAGAGAAGGAGCCCGGAACGTTCCTGCTACGCTTTAGTGAAAGCCATCTTGGAGGAATCACCTTCACCTGGGTTGAACAGGATGAAAATGGTTTGTGCTTTTAAGACGGTCACGAAATAGACATTACAATAGTATTTCCTATTGTTTAAGAAAGATAACAACATACAAGTATGTAAGTTGCTGTGCTTGCCTGCCCACGCAGGTTAGAGGTCTTAAAGTTTAAGGAACTTGAGATTGTTTTGATTTCCCTCGATGAAACGCTGTCTTGGATTTGCAGAGGGAAATTCCAGCCTGGATTTGTTCCATGCTTTAGAGATGCCTTTAATACGCTTACAGCTCAGATCTGAGCATGCTTATCTTTATGCCTTTATTGTATTAAATACAGTGCCAAGCATAAATGAGAACATGCCTTACAGATCTCTCTTATAAAATACTAAATATGTTATGCGATTTATAGCATTACATGTTATAGATATTTATGTATACAGTATAGTACATTAGATTAGTCAGATTAGTCCACAACTGAAAGAAAATCATTTAAGATCACAGTGCAAAAATAAGTATTAAAATAAATAAGGTTAGGGTAAAATTTTAATAAAATAAAAATAAAATAACAAAATATTTAATAAAATTTGAATTAAGAGGAAAAATTCATATAACATTTATTTTTGGGTTCTTAATAGCAGGGTGTCCGCAGGGTCTTAAAAAGTTTGACATTTCAAAAACAAAATTTAAGGCCTTAAAAGGTTAAATTCACTGAACTATTTTATTGTACGTCTTAAAGGTGCTGTATGTCAGTTTTTGACTCTTCTAAAGCATAAAGATACCATAATATGTTTGCAGATATTTAATAAACATGCTAAGTGAACATTCATGTTTATCTGTAAAACAAAGCTTGAGTTAGATATTCTGCTTTGAAAATGTGCAATACATGCTGGAACAGCATCTTTGTTTTGGTCTCTTTAACCCCCCCTGCCAGTTTAGCCCATTCTATTTCAGCACTTCTAACCCTAACCCTAACTCAAGATTTGCATTGATAAGCAATTTGGCTGTTTGCACCAGATGAAACACAACAGAAATTTAATTACAGCCATTCAGAAGCACAGAATAGTGCACTTACTGCACTCCAACAAAATGGTAAGGTGTATAATCTAACAATACTTATTAAACCTCTTTAACATTATTAAATGTACATGGTGAATTACTGATATGTGTTGGTTTGCACAGTTCTAAAGTTCAATTTCAAATTTTAAATTTTATTTTTAAGATCTAAGGTGAGCTGTCTGCTGCTGCTTTCAGTAGTATGGCAATAAATGTCATGTAAAATGGCATTCAAACTTTCAGAAGCCATATCTAAAATAGGTGTTGGTTAGGACAAAAACTAAATGGAAAATATTCCTTCTTTTGCATGCCATTGCTTTTATTCAGAACCATACTAAATCAGCCTTAAATCAGCGTTTAGCCTAGATAGTCAGGCACACTTCTGTTGGTGTCGTCAATCTGGCAACCTGTGCTTGCGTGTGTTTTTTTAACCAGGAGTGCGATACCCAGTTCAACCACTGGGTGTCAAACGTACATACTGCTCATTTAAATAATATTCATGTAAAGCTAACCAATCGGGCTGACACCCTTCCAATCACCAACAATCCATCTCAATAAAACTTAACAAATCTTTATTTATAACTCTATTTACCAATATTGTGTAAATATCTTCTTTGCAATAACTTTTGTTTAAATGTTCTCGATATATGGAACATTGTCCATATACGGTGAGCACACTGACCTGGACAGTTGTGTATACATTTAGTTTATTAGTTTAAAAGCTTAAAAAAACATACATACAATTATGCTTTGCTTGTCTTGGCACATTGTTTGAAATATGCAACAAAAAAATTATTCATTATTTTCTTTTGATGGGGGAAGTAAAAATCTTTTCTAGCCCAACCGTAACAGCAGAAAAATCCCTTCCGTCTCGACTGCAGAAACTCAAGCCTGCAGAAACCCTGAATGCATTACTGTATGTTTTTATTCCTAAAGATGTTAGGTGACTACTTAATAAAGTTGTATTATTTAAATGCACCTAAATATAGACTATATTCACTGATAAATGGATACAAATATTCATTTTCAAAATACTCATAATCATTTATGCTGAGCATTGTATGTTTTTAAATAAACCTGTTTCATGCCTACAGGAGATCCAAAGTTCATCTCTGTCGAGCCGTACACGAAAAACCGCCTCAACGCTTTGCCCATTGCTGACATAATCCGCGACTATAAGGTCATTGCAGACGGTGTTGTTCCAGAAAATCCCCTAAACTTCCTTTATCCAGACATCCCGAAGGACGAGGCTTTTGGGAAACATTACAATAGCCAGCAGAACAAAGGTTAGACATCTGTAAACTCTCTCTGGAATATAATAGTCCCATATATTGTGTACAACCTAAGTTAACAATCATGAAATCTCATTCAATGTCTTACTACAGTGGCCAAGAGAGCTTAACGTGATGCAATTTAAGAAAATACAAGCAATTAAAAAACACCAGCAAATTCAGACCTTCATCACTTTGACGGCAAAAAACGTGACGGACCCGGCTATTTAGGCTAGGGTTTTTAGGCTTATAATATATAAAAGACAAGGGAGTTATTTTGTTAATAAGGATGTTAAAATAAACAAAAAACCTCACCTTTCATGCCCCATTCTCACTGGGCTTTAGCATCAACGCTTCCCATTCACTTTACATGGGTGACGTCAAGTCTTGCTGAATTGTGGAGCTGTCCTTGCTGAAAAAGTTGGGAATTTTTCAACTATAAGTGCCAACGGAAGCGTCAGCCAATCTGATCACTTTATGCAAATACCCCAGATCAGACAGTAGCCGATTGCGGACTAATTTCATTGGCTGACACTGCTATGATGATTGCGTCACTTTCAACTTTAGAATCACCCTCCATCAAGTGTTGACGCTGAAGCCTTGTGTGAATCGGGCGTCAAAGATCACAGCACAATAAGCAAATCCCAGCCAGTCTGTCATGTTTTTGGGTCCCCTTGAAACATTTTCGTTGTGTTCTGTGCTATTTGTATGTGTTGTGAGAAATTGCAGCACGCTTTCTTAATTTCAATTTAATTCAATTGATGTTTATTTCTATAGTACTTTTACAATGTAGATTGTGTCAAAGCAGCTTAACATAGAAGTTCAAGTAAATTAAAACTGTGTCAGTCTAGTTTAGAGATCTGCGCAGGACTGGATTATTAATCCCGCTCCCACCAGGTTTTATTCGCACACGACCGCTCCCACCGCATATTCAGTCTTCGTTCACCCACTGCCTAGTTCACCCGCCTAGTTTTCTACCCGACCCGACTGTTCCAGCTAAATTTAGATCTAATCCAAATCCATCGATGCGTAGCTCCACAAGTCCCAAACCAAGCAAGCCAGTGGTGACAGTGGTGAGGAACAAACTTCACCAATTGACGAAAGTGGAAACCTTGAGAGAAACTAGGCTCAGTTGGACACGACCATTTCTCCTCAGGCCAAGCTTCTTGTGCAGAGCTGCAGTCTAGGTTCTGGAGGCAGGAGAATACTGGACGTCCATCGTGGAGAAGCTGCAGGTGTTATTAGTTTGCATTGTGAGAATTTGCATCACGTTTGCTCTCAAGCCGATGAAGATATTTTCTTAATTTGCTAGTGTTTTCTTAAATGCAGCACGTTAACCTCTTTTGGCCACTATAACATACTCTATTTAGTGAGTAAAATACAGTCACGTATTTTCACTGTATTTACACGGAAAAGCTGAAATATCATTCATTTTAATCTCATTTTATATTTGATTCACCATTCTAAGGTTGACCTTAAACCATTTCTCTAATTTGTTGCTTTCTTTTACAGTTTGTCCCTATATTCCGACACATTTAGTTCCAATTTCCCATCGGTACGAACATCTTCATTCCTTTCAAATTAATATGCAGTGTTATGATTTGTAGATTCAAGTGTTGCATGTTTGCATGAACTGATTCTCATGATTTTTGGGGGGATTTTCTCAATCTCAGCGTTCCAGCACAACATTCATGTTCCTCTCCTGAGCCTCCAATGTCTCCTGGAATGTATGAAATCATCACCCAGCACCTCAGTCCCTTCGAGTTTGAGAGCGCTGTAAATAATTTTTTAAACATACTTCAAAGCTTGCTGAAATAATGATGATGATGATTTATGAGTCAAAATATCCAGTTTAATCAAATCTATAAAACTAATTTTATATGTAGTAAAGTGGACTTTAATGTCTAAATAACTTTAGAGAAAATTAAATGTCAAAATGTGAGTGAAATAATCTTCCTGCACCATTTATTGTAACAGACGATTCTTCAGATGATTAACTATTTTTCTAAATGTCCCTTAAACAAAATATACAGCAGAGGAAATAAGTACTGAACACGTCACCATTTTTCTCAGAAAACTTATTTCTAAATGTGCCATTGACTTGACATTTTAACTGGATGTTGGTAACAACCCAAGAAATCCATATAAACAAAGAAAACAAAACTAATTAGCTGACAATGTGTAATAAACTGAGATGACACCAGGAGAAAGTGTTGAACACATGATGAAAGGCAGGGGTAGAAAGGCAGTGAAGGCCCAGACAGCAGCTGAAATCTCTCAGCAGTTCTTTACCCTCTGCCCTTCCTCAGTGTAAATCAATATTAACTGCTTCAGTTCAACATCTACATTAGCAGGATGATGAAGATGAAACCACGGTGGACATATCAGCAACACAATGGTCCAAAACACAGCCAAGGAAACTCTCAGATGCTTTCAAAGAAAGAAAATCAAGCTGTAGAATGGCCTAGCCAGGTCTCCTGACCTGAATCTAATAGAAAATACAAAATAATGATCAGATTTGAAAGACGAGACCCACAAAACCATCAAGATTTTTACGCTCTGTGAAAAAAACACACCTGAGCAATGCATGTGGATTCATTCTCCATATGAGAGGCGTCTTAAGCTGCCATCACCAAAAAGCCTTTTATATAAAGTATTAAATACATTTCAGTAGTTCAGCACTTTCTCCTTGTGCCATTTCATTGTTATTACACACAACTCATTTTGCTTGTATTGTTTGAGTTTTTACCAAAATCTGGTTCAATTCCATGTCAACAACTCAATTACAAATAATATTCCCAGGAAAGAAAACATGACGTGTTTAATACTTATTTCCCCCTTTGTATTAGTACATATAAAAATGTTAGACTGAATGACATTTTAGTGTGTGTCTTCTGCAAATCATAGTGAAAACACAAGTCATTTATTTATAATTGGCTCAGAAAAGCTTCATCTTTGACGAATAGCAATTGTAGACAAAGTGACGGTTCACTCAAAACTGAACATTTCCTCAGCATTCATTCACATTCAGTTAAACACAAAGATATACTGAAGAATGCAGAATCCATTGACATCTATAGTAAGAACAAATATTACTAAAGAAGTCAAAGGCTATTCAACATTCTTCAAAATATCTCTTGTGATTCTGACAGACGACAGAAACTCAAACTGATTTGGAACAAGTTGAGGAAATTTTCACTTTTAGAAACTGTCCCTTTGATTAAGTTGAGTTAATTAAGCAGATAGAGAACATGACATGACAGTGTTTTCTTGTTTACATTGCAGATGAGTTCACCCTAGAAAAGGCGACGACAGCAATTCAGATGGATCCAAGAATTTTGATGGGTTTAATTCTATCCGTCTTTTTATTATGGTTCTCTTTACCATTTTTTACTTTTTTATACATCACTGTACTATCTATATATATATATATATATATATATATATATATATATATATATATATATATATATATATATGTGTGTGTGTGTGTGTGTGTGTGTGTGTTATATATGTTCTGTCATTCTCATTCTAGATCAAATCCTGATCACAATATTGGTTGGTAATTAACCATTGTCTGTAAAGGCTGAGGATTTCTGTAAATTTAGATTTATTCAAACATTAATCTGGTTTAAGATTATACTAAATTTGACTGTTTATGTATATATTATGACAAGCTTGTTGTTTCTGTTGTATTTTTAAATAAATAATTTTAAGGTTTCTCTCTGGTGTTGTTAGTTGAAAGAAACCGTAATAGAAATGGAGTTTAGTGAGTATCAAATATGTTGGTATTACACTCTGGGGCTATTCCAGAAAGCAGGTTATGTGACGTATTCAGATAAGTCAGGATATGAAAGTGCATAACCTCAGCTTTCAGTTCCAAAAACTGAGGTAACTTCAGTAAGGTTACTAATGCTCTGAACATTGCCTAAACTGGTGCAGGACAGGTTATGTTTCATGTTTAGTTCTCCACTAAGCGTTATACACTGAAAAAAGTGAAATTTACACATTCAAAGCAGGACACAATCCCAAAAAAATGTACATTTAAAGTACATTTTTATATTGAAGTAAGTGAAAAAAAATATGGTTAACCTGCCTTAAAGTAAAAACCAACACTCTTCAAAAGAATTAAAGCATTAGTTTTTCTCAAAATATTTTTCTTCAAACCAGCAGTTTTCATGTTATGTGACCGACCACATCAAAAAGAACTGATATTTATTTTCCTTCAGCTTAGTCCCTTCTTAAACCCACACCATCACGGGGAGAACATGTTTACTTCACACAGAAATGCCAACTGGCCCAGCTGGTACCCGAACCAGCGACCTTCTTGCTGTGAGGCAACAGTGCTAACCACTGAGCTAATTATAATTAATCACAATCTTGAGTGGCATTTATAGCCAAACTAAAAGCTTTTGGAACTGACATACCTTATTAGCAGATTTAGGGTTGATCTTAGCTCAGTATTAATGTGAAAGATAAGTTAAACCCATTTTCTGGAATACACTGGAATTACAATTAGATGAGACAAACACTTTCCTGTGTTTTAATCAGTCTGTTTGATCCCCATTCCTGCTTTCTTTGAGTGCATATGATCTTTTCTGATATTGTGAAATATAAAATTGTACAAATGAACGATGGGAAGTTCTCTTATTGCTAAATGGCAACAAACACTATGGGTTATGTGAGAATCAGGCCTAAGAAATTAAACATTTTGCTTATTTTGGACTTAAAACAAAACTTAATTAATTTCATCTGGCTAGTGCGGTTCAACAACACGTCACTAAAAATCAGGTTAGTAGGTCAGCGTTTGATCTGGTTAAATACATCAGTCAACATTTACAGTACAAAATCATCATTATCAAACATGTTTTTAAATACAGGATACTTCTGAAAGTCCTCAAAAGTTGACAAAGTCCTCACAATTCCTTGTGGCATAGAATCAACAAGGTACTGGAGATATTCCACAGAGATTTTGGTCCATATTGACATGATAGCATCATACAGTTGCTGCAGATTTGTCGGCTGCACATCCATGATGCAAATCTCCCGTTCCACCACATACCAAAGGTGCTCAATTGGATTACTATCTGGTGACTGTGGATGCCATTTGAGTGCAGCGAACTCATTGACATGTTCAAGAAACCAGTCTGAGATGATTTACGCTTTATGACATGGCGCGTTATCCTGCTGGAAGTAGCCATCAGTAGATGGGTACACTGTGGTCATAAAGGGATGGACATGGTCAACAACAATACTCAGGTAGGCTGTGGCATTGACACCATGCTCAATTGGTACTAATGGGCCCAAAGTGTGCCAAGACAAAATCCCCACATCATTACACCACCACCACCAGCTTAAACCGTTGATACAAGGCAGGATGGAGCCACGCTTATGATGTTGATGACAAATTCTGACCCTCCCATCCGAATGTCGCAGCAGACGACAATGCTTTTTCCAAACTTTTATTGTCCAATTTGCCAATTGTCCGAGCCTGTGCGAATTGTAGCCTCAGTTTCCTGTTCTTAGCTTCCAGGAGTGGCACCTGATATGGTCTTTTGCTGCAGCAGCCCATCCGCCTCAAGGTTCGACCTGGTGTGTTAAGAGGTGCTCTTCTGCATACCCTAATTGTACTGAGTGGTTATTTGAGTTACTGTTGCCCAGGGCCGGAGTGGGACTCCTTTTCAGCCCTGGAGTTTCAAGCCTCAGACCGGCCCACCTCAGTTCACGACTGACTATATTAAAATAAGGTCATTTCCAATTCAGTTTCTAATTACGCTATCACGTCTTTTTTTGAGAAAACAGCTGCTTTAGAACTTCAAATGTTCAACAACCCTAACAGTATTATATGTCTTAACAATAAAAATGAAAAAAAAAAATTACTCAGACGAGGATCAAACCTGGGTCGGAGGCGTCGTAACTTAACATGCTAACCACTGGACCACATCAGCTGTACTTTGATTGGTGACTCATCTGAGTTATATCATCATTAAACTGCAGGCTGCCTCTTGCTCACGCGGCTGCGATAAAATAGATAAAAAGAGCAGAGCTGCGGTAAAATAATGAATAAGTAGACTGTGGTCAAGTAAATAAATAAATAAATTTAAAAAGTGTGACTGCTGAGAGCTACAAATTCTGGAGCTAGGGACACCGGCCCTCGCGGCCAAAAAACGGACCGGCCCACCGGGAATTCTCCCGGTCCTCCCGATTAGCCAATCCGGGCCTGCTGTTGCCTTTCTATCAGCTCGAATCAGTCTGGCCATTCTCCTCTGACCTCAACAAACAACATCAACAAGGCATTTGCACCAACAGAACTGATGCTCACTGGATATTTTCTCTTTTTCAAACTATTCTTTTGTAAACCCTAAAGATGGTTGTACGTGAAAATTCCAGTAGATCAGCAGTTTCTGAAATACTCAGACCAGTCCGTTTGGCACCAACAACCATGCCACTATCAAGTCACTTAAATCACCTTTTTTCCCTATTCTGATGCTCGGTTTGAACTGCAGCAGGTCATCTTGACCATGGTTGCGTCCGAAACCGCCTACTACTCAGTAGGCACTGCGTTTGAATTTAAACATACTACTCGGCCATAAGAAAAGTACGTTCAATACAATATGAATGTGAAAAGTATGAATGGAATTCGGACGTACTACATCCGCCATTTTGTCATGGTCACGTGACCTACCTGCGTCAGTTGCGTCGCTTCACTCCCATTCATGAATTCTCTCGCAAGGCATCATGGGATAGCGCAGCGCGCATGGGATGCGCACTTCAGACTCTTGCCAAAAGTAGTAAGCCATCCGGGTACTTCCTGCATACTGATTTTCGATATGAATTCGGACATACAACTCGGCTCGCATGCTGACTTGAGCGTACTTTATAGTATGGAAGTATGCGATTTCGGACGCATGTCTACATGCCTAAATGCATTGAGTTGCTGCCATTTGATTGGCTGGTTATAAATTTAAGTTAACGAGCAGAGTGACAGGTGTACCTAATACAGTGGCTGGTGATGGGTGTAGTAATATCATATGCTCACAAGGCCTTAAAATACAATGCACTTTTTCTGGCGCATTGGGGAATTGTGGTTGTTGACATCATGAGGTTGAAAATGTTGTTGAGTGGGCAGGACTGTGTGTGTGTTCCAAGAAACATGGGAAAAATATTCACCCACATTCTTCCTGTCAGCATATGTCAAGTGTTCGCACAGTACAATCCAGACATTTAGAAGTAGTCTAATCACGTTTGCCTTTATCCTCATAAACAAAACGATTTCATTTTATACAACAAGGACATCACTAAATGCTGAACATCCATTTTGTTCAGACAATTGGTTTCAAATGCTTTGCTGTCATTTGATTTGATGCAAATAAAACATTTATGCTTTGTATTTGTGCAACCATATGTGATATTTGCTTCAGTCTCGTGGCCTTGATGTGCTGGAGATCTACAGATGTTTATCAGAAGAACAATAAGTGGGAATTATGAGTTTCGTTTCTCGAATAATACAGATGCTACTAAGCAGTAGCTTTCATATCCTTGTCAAACTGCCATGATATAATGGAAGATACATTGAACTCACAATTTAAAAGATGAAATGTTGAAATGTTCCTCAGAGATTTATTCTATATTGACATTTATATATTTATGTACAGTTTTGCAGATTTTATGACTGCACATTAGTAATGCAAATCTGGGAGATTCCACTAAATGCCAAAGGTGATCAACTAAAGGAAAATTAAAGTCTCCTAGAGTTAAACGGTTCATTTATGGCAATTTTCATTTTCCATTTGTCTAAATACACCATGTAACTACAGAAGAGTCAAGCTTTAAATGGGAAAATTATTCAAATTTTATTTTAGAATTTTAGCTCGAGATGCTAATGGTCTAATCCAGGGATCACCAATCTCGGCCCTGGAGGGCCGGTGTCCCTGCAGGGTTTACCTCCAATTTGCTTCTACACACCTGCCTGTATGTTTCAAGTACACCTAGTAAGACCTTGATTAGCTTGTTCAGGTGTGTTTGATTAGGGTTGAAGCTAAAATCTGTAGGACACCGGCCTTCCAGGAACAAGTTTGGTGACCCCTGGTTTAATCTGATTCAATAATTTATGCTAAGGTAAAAGTGCTCTTGCCAGAACCCGAAATTAGCTGAGTGAATTAAAAAATGGTAACTGTTTATCTGATTTAACTGATTTGTAAAATGTTAGTGTTGTTTTAAAGCCTGGTTCATACTTCTGCATCGAGTGATCAGCGTGACTCATGGCACATGCCATGTGCATTGTCGTGCATTTATATTTCTGCGTGCTTTTTGTGTTGCTCTGCAATAACACTTCCGAAACACTAGCTGGCAGTAGGTTTTGATGTTCCTTTGTATCGAGTTTCTTCGCTGGTGTTTTGTTTTTTCTGAACGCTACCTTATTGTAGAAGTAGCTCAAACTAAACCCAACCAATAGTGTTTTCAAAAGCACTGATTGACCCACCCACCCCCTTCCCTAAACCCAACCGAAGTGTTTTAAAAAGCAATCCAGAAAAGGAAAAGCCCTCGCCTGATTTTTACCATGTTTTCAGATTTTACTACATTCTCACCCTGTTATTTACTTGTTTATTTTATTTTTAGGCTTTTGTTTTTGTCTTACCCACTTTCTTAAAACTTTCTTCACCGTACTTAAACCCAGTCGTTGCGGTCAACTCTGCTCTGCATCTTAAGTCCGCCAATGTAA